CAGTTTCTCCAGGAGGATGCCATGGGAAAGGATGAAGAAAATCGATGGAGAAAGGGAAGATGGAGAACACCATACAGAAAGTCTAAAGAAATATTTACAAACACACATATCCTCCCCATGCTGAAATATTGTATCTGCTGCTTGACAACTTTTTCATAACACCAGATTCTTGTATCATGAGAAATCATAAGGAACTGCCTCTTCTTTACCTTCCCTGTACCAACTATGATCACAGACTTCTAGTGTTTCTTCCCCTCCATTTCCCTGTTTCCAATCAGCAACAGATTCAATTTCATCAACAATCGCTCCATACCCTTAGCCACTCCATGCCTTCCACTTGGTACCACCTCATTACACCGCCAGTAAAAATCTTTGGCTGCTGAAAAGGCACTGGTTGTCCATTAAATTTCCGCACTGGATCAAGGAATTGCTTGGCACTGTGTCGTACAGCTTGACACAATCTATCCTTAATGACGCTATTTGACTCTCCATTTTTCTGCAGGTCTTCCGGACACAGGTTGTCAGAAGAGCTTTCATCCTATAGAGGGAAGTTCAAGGAACACATGACAAGTGGAACACACATCCAAGCCCAGCTAAGACATACTTTTGTCTAATTCACACCAGTCTCAGCATGCAGTGAAGGAAGCCAGCTCCTGACACAAAGACTTATTTTGAGTAACTGTCAACTTAAGAGTAGAATTTATTTTTAGGATTAATACTACTACATAGGTAGATGTCAACATACAAGATTTCAATGCCTTATATGCATTCTTTACTCCTTTAGAACTGAAAAGCAGTGATAGCTACTGAAGCTATTGAGCTTATAATTTTCTACCCAGAAAAGCAAGCAGACTTCAAACCTTCCTCACAGAAGCTGACATTTAATGCATTTAATCCCTTCTGTAAGCGGATTCTAGAGAATGTTGGAAAGAAATTCATACTGTGCATGTAGCTTTTAAACTACAGCAGAAACGAGACCACACCTGTTATCTCCATGCTTGAATGCTTAAAAATGACTATGTCTTAAGGTCTTACACACCAGCACAAATACTTCTTAGTAAACTGCTATTTCCTTTATTTTTCAAACTACATGCATTCTATAAAGTATAAATACATCCAAATTCAGTGTTTAAAAAAAATTAGAAGTTTTCACCTCAGATTTCTGAAAATAAGTATTTAAGAGCATTCACTTGCACCACTTTTTTAACTTCTAATTCAAGACTTCAATACCTAGCAGAGAGATGTTTATTTACAGGAAAAGTTTAAAGATATACTATACAGTATAAAAAGCCCTCCCTCCCTTTGGGTTTAACACACTTAAACTGCAATAACATGTGCCAACATACCTGATTTTCCACTTTACGTTTTTTTGCCACAGATAAAATTTCCTGGAAACAAGGAAAAAACGATGCTTATGTAATTTTCAACCTTAAAGGTTACTACAATTTATATTTCATGAGATCTTTTAACTAAAGAATCTGGACATACTTTACAAAGTTTTCCATACAACATCATTAATCATTCAAGTGACTCTAAACAAGGCCACACACCAGAAACATATTCCAATTACAAAGGGTAACCGAAAATTCAACTGGTGATATAGTCTCTTTGCAGCTTGCCTCCCTAAAGACTTTAAAAAAAAAAAAAAGAAATAAAGCATCTGAATTCTACAGATCTGACAACATTACTTGTTAGGTAGATCTTTGCTGGAAGAAAGTCATACGTTACACAGAGATCACTGTCGGCTGTTGGTTGATAATCTCCGATCGCAATGTATGAGAAAGTATTGCTCTAAAATACAAATGTCACACAGTAATTGCCTCACCGGCTAAAATTTGTGCTACAAAAATACAGACAAGTTTATTTATAGTTATGGCCTACCTCTTTGGACATAATTTCTGAGATGTTGTATGTCCCATCTTCTCTCCCTCTCTTCTTTTTTACACCTGTAAGATAACATTTGAGTTTATACAACACATCAAACATTAAAGAAACTAAAACCACCAGTACTGACAAAAGGCAAAGCCCAATACATTACCTGATTTCTCCTCTTTGCCATCAACTGGATTTTGACCCTAGAAAATAAACATAGGAAGAGGTTCATCACCTTATGCATCTCTATCACAGCACAGATAGAAAGACGTGATCAGCCTCAAACCATTGCCATTGAAATCTTCTTTAAATGCTTTTACTATTAAGCGGTTTTTAAAAATACAGCAAAAAAAGAAAGTTCTTATCTTTTTTTATTACTTATTCAGCATCTTGGCTGAATAAACAACCATAGCTAAACCAGAAAACCTCCTCAAGACAAATTCAAACCATTTTCTTTAGTATAAATTTGTCAGAAACATCTCCTTAAGATGACTGTCATGGTTTGCTATTTTTTAGCACTTTTAAACAGTCTTATTATGGTTAAAATAAATATGGTATACTAGATCCTTCAAGTCAAATACTGGCTAATCTAACTTATTTAGTTTACCCATCTACAATTAAATTGACATCGTAACTTGTCATACTTTTATACAGGAAGTTGCATAAAATAGCTAGTTAATCTTACCTTGGCAGATTTTAACATCATCTCTCTCTTTTTTTCTAACTTCTCTTTCCTCCTTTGTTCCTAAACAAAAACAAAACACCCCCCCACACACACATTTCTTAACTTTCAATAAGACGCACATGAGAACTATCCATTATAGAAGTGATAACAGGCAGAGATTGGTAACAGAGTTCTGTATACTCTACAGACTTTGTTTTTGCAACCTTCCTAAATGCTTCTATTCTGACATAGTTTAAAATGATAAAGCAAAACTTGGACAAGAAAGTGCAACTGTTCTGAATTGCTTGTCAGTGAATACTTTAAACACTTAAATACAGTAATTTAGAAAGACCCTGACAAAAATATTCCCTATCGCAAACTCCTTAAGATCACATCGATTGCAGTAAGTTTTCCACGTATCTAGCTCCCTTTTTAACTTCTACATATTACCACTTGTGTTCATTGCAGAACAGAAAGCAGTGCAAGTAGTCTACAATGCCTTTAAGGAATAAGTGCTTTCATGTCTTGAAGGATTTAAGATTTTCATTCCATCTACTATTTCTACTTCCTGAAAGCAAAAGGACCCTGGAAAAAGAGATAAAAGACCTTGGTATTTATGAAATGGAGCAAGACTTAGTACTGAAACATGCACTCTATCAATGCAGTAACCACGAATTTGAACTGACAGTTAAACTAGAGAAGTATTTTAGAAAGTAGGTTCCTGCAGTCTGTCAGTGTCACTTTTCTGAGAAGCTCATTGCCCTGAATCTTTTCCTAAGATTCCCCCTCTCTCTCAAGGGTAAACTCTTACAAGCTTGTCCATAAAGGTACAGTTAAAGTCAAGATAAAGCTAGATATGAACTCAGCAGCCCATGGATTAAAACAAACAAACAAAACATCAACCAAAAAAAAAAAACAACAAACACCCACACAAAATCATTTTATGGAAGCTCTTATTTGGGAACAGTATGGCCTCAGATCACTGTAATTTACAGATCTGTTTGAGGGAGGCCTACATTAGCATCCTGAAGATACAATTCTTCCTCAGCCTTCAGTAATTAACACAAATAGGCTGCAAAACTTCCTACTTGTCAATTCTTTGCATCTTTTACCCTCCCTCCAGGTTTTCTAGCTCCCTTAGTTTCTTATTGGAAATATTTTCTTTTTCTAGCACTCAGGCCAACAAAAGAATTGTAAAGATACCAGTGCCACTTTTACTCTGTGATTTTAAATTATAATTCATGTTCTTCCCAGTCTGATTTGTCTATTAATTTATAGAACAAAGTCTGACTATTATGTAAAGCACCACTACCTTCCTGGGTAGTAGTTCCAGTAGATTTTTGTTATTATTGCAATCTTAACAGCATTTTTACTTCGAACAGATGGATTAAAAAAACCCAAACAAACAAAACAAAACCACCCCAAACAGATGGCAGTCCATCTTAAGAATCCCCACTGCAGACAAGAATACACCTACCTCTAGTTGCTGCTGTTCCATTTTGGTTAGCAAGAATTTGGAATAGATGTTGCTTTTTTCAAGCAAATGTTGAAGCCTCTTGTAGCGTATTTCACTTGACTCCTTGTCCCAAGAAGTGCGAGCCTGGCCAACACAAAGAGATGTCAAGTATTTATAGATGCTTCAGAGTTAATGCTTTTAGTACAATGATGGGTTCTTCTACAGGATAACTACAATTGTCTCACACACAAGCAACCTCTTCCTTCCAGTCATTATACATCTATGATTCGTGAGTGTATGGACTCACAGGTACCTATGAAGTGCTGTAAAATGAAAGTAACTGAGGGTTGCATTCACTTGCAGATGTAAACAGAGCTCTGCAACACACTCATCCTCCAGTGCAGTAGCACAAGGCATTCAGGAGCTCAAAGGTGTCTCAAATCTGATTTATAGATTTAGAGCAAAATAAAATTTAAGTTTATTTGAAGCCTGCAAAATTTGACGCAAAAAACCCCTACTTTGCAAAACACAGCACAGTTTCCCAGTTAGCAGTTGGGATTCCTCCATATGCCGTTTGCACAAAGGTACGGTTTTTCATTATGAACAAGACATCAAGACAGCTACAAAACCATCATGCCTAATTTACAGAGGTCAAGTCAATTCCCAATGTGAAAACAGTAACTTCTGCTTGCTTTGCTTACAAATTCCACACGATTTCAAAAGTAACTGCTGTTGAATAACTCAAGGTTGTGCACTTGGAAGTCCGCAAATTACTCTTTAAAATGCAAATCAAGACATCTCCAAAACATAAAAAAAGCATTCACCATTCTGCACTCATTTATCATTGCCTATTAGATTGAGATTATCAAACAAGGTATAAATTAGCATCTCCAAGAGAAAGCCCAGAAAGTCAAGATGCAGAGCTTTACAAGATGCTTATCTATGCTATTGCCTTCAGAAGAAACACTGGGGGAAGGGCGTGCTAAGACAGAAAGGCAAGGGAATCTTCTGAAACTAAACAGAGTAACAGGCAGAGAAAAGCGGTATTAGCTGAATCATGGGACAAACTGTGTGACACAGGAAAGGAGGAGCATGTTTCTCTCCCCAAGAAACCACACCTTTATTTTCCAAAAGTAGCACTCCGTGTCATTCTTATCAGGAAACTATCACCATATTCTTTTATGAGAGGAAGATCTATCTCCACAAGTTCTCTAGGGGAAGAGATTGCCTTCTGGTGATTCTCCATACAGTTTTTATTTGCTTCTGCTCTCCCCAGTCCCGGTTTTTTCCTTCAGATGAAAAGCACCAGAGCTCAGAAAGATCCACCCTTGATGGCAATGCCAAGAGAGAATATAATTAAAACTAAACTACTTAATTCAGCAAATAGCTATTGCTCACTTAATAGAGTGAACACAGCATCCTTCCATGAATCGGTCAATCTGAAGGACTGTTCCCTTGACTAACTGCAAAAATTTCAAGGGGAAAAAAGAAAACTCAAAGATGATGAACAGCATTGAAATTTTATGATTTCTACAGTTTGTTCTTTGACTCAAACCTTCAAGCCTCAAGAAAATTGTTTTTCCCTTTTTTGACTGAAAAGGTAAGAAAATTGCCACTCTTTTTAATCACTCTACATTCTCATATATTTGCATAGTGGTATTTCGCCAATAGCACACAGAAAGAACAAGTGAGTCCTTTGTTGAAGTGCTCTACAAATCACCTGGCAGGGCAGTTGCTGAAGTGACAAGCATAAGAAACCCAGAAGATTCAAGAACATCAACTGCCCCTAAGATGCCAGTAAGCCTGGGTTTGAGTAATTTCCCTTGGTCTGACTGGCCCCAGATTGCAGAGAAAGCAAGACAGAAACAAACAGGACAATGGAGCGATATCCTTGCTAGAGGTAAGCTCTGTGAATTCTCAAGACATGACGAGAATACAAAAACCCCCAGCCCTATCACGTTATAGCATTGTTACAGAAGTGGTTGGTTGTGAAAGAAATTAAATTCTAAGACCTTCTTTCAATACTTCCTGCGCAACAAGATGATTAGATGATTTGCCCTACAAGGGTTTCCTCCTTAACCTTCAAGAGCACTGCCTCCAAATTTTTAGCTGCAAGTCTGATCAAGGAATACCCGTACAGAAGTTTGGACAAGCTCTATCACGACTTACCGTTTGCAAGAAAAAAGATATGAGACTTCTGGGAGAATAAAGTATTATTCTCTAACTACAGTATCACAAAATTCTGTAGCCTAAAAACATACCTTTATAAATCACAACTTTTCCTAGTGAAAAGAGAAAGAGTAATGAAAATTAGGTCCAGGCCTTAGAAGTTGTATTTTTCATGCCCTTGGAATAATGCTTCAATTTTTAAGACAGGAAAAAAGAAGCAAACCCTGATTTCTCAACTATTTTGAGTAATAGCACTAGTTCTTTAGAATACAATTCCCAGAAGAGCATTTAAGAGAAAAGTTCTTTCAAGCTTACATTTCCTTATGTCTGAAATACAATACCTTATATAGTATTCTGATACCTTGATAATTTGTATCAGCACAGGTCTGGAAGCATCATGTTTTCATGCTCTCTCCAAAACAGATTGGTTAGTATCAACCAATGCTTAACACCAACATATGAAAACATTCACATCAAGAGTGAAATGAAAGGTAGTAATTATTATGTCATTTGTGTTAGAGAAGGATCATTTCCTTCAAGTGGCCTGTATTTCCTGCAACAGCAAACACAAACCAAACAACAGCTCTCAGGATGATTACACGTACATTTCTGCTGGCAGCAATGCCAGCTCAAGCAGCTTCTGCTCCCCTCAACATAGAGGTGCCTGCACCACTGCATGCAGGGAAGAGCAGACCAGGAGAGCGACTGGCACAAACCTGATCCTTTTTGGCTAGGCTTTTTAAGGTACTTCCTTGATGCAGGTGCTGCCTAAACTATACCTGCTACCAAAAGAAACGCATAACCAGACTTATTTCTGGAAAGGATAAATGGCATTTATAGAAGTGTCCTGCAGAGCTCCAATCAGGTCCTTTGTTTGGTGAGATTTTTTAGTAAAATAAAGCACAAAAAGAGGAAAAGAAGCATTATATACACATACAGAAAAAGCAAACAAAAAATTCTTGCCTTCAATATTTCAGACAGAAATTCAGAAGAACGTGAACTTACTACCTTACTGAAATCAACTCATTTTAAAGGCATGATATCTTCAATTTTTAGGCTCGGAACAACAAAAGTAAAGAGATAGTAAAGAGGTAATCTTCTCATTGCAAACTTAAATTCGTATAAAATGATAAAATGCAGCAGGCTGCTTACTGACTGCAACAGTCCACGGTTAGCCTTCAAAAAAAAAAAAAAAAGGCCTCC